GTTTGGGAAGCCGTATCGCCTCGCCATGCTGCAGAATTGGCGTTTCATGACACGCTTTGGTGGATGGAATTTGTATTTGATTGGTTGATTGGTAGTAGATGATGATGACTTTTTATGGGACTGAGACTGCGACTGCGATCCTGCAAATACTTGCATGTCTAGGTTCTTGGTATTCTCGTCGGCTAATTCTGCGCGACGGCTGAGTCGTTCCTCGACTTTGGATGACCCGATGACTTCGTTGTTGAGGTGGGTGTATTCGACCCCTGCGCCGGCGAGGATGGCTTGGATGGGGTCATGTTTGGTGTTGATGGGGGTTTTGGGGTTGGTGGGTTCTTCGTCGTCCTCGCCGCGAATCATGGCTGCTAGCTGGCTCATGACTTCGTTGGTGTCGTCGGATTTGCCGGTGAAGGTTGTGTCGGAGACGTTGGGGTCGAACTCTACGTCGATATCCATGACCTGGACGCCGGCTTTGCTTTCAGCGACGTTGGTTTTGTTGACGATGTCGCGGAGAAGGATGTTCTGGTTCTTGTATTCGAATAGATTGTCGAGACCGAAGAGCTCACCCTTTTGGTCTTTCTTCTCCTGGACACCCTTGAAGTAACGTCGTTCCGAGCTCGCGTTGTAGCCGATGTTGGCCTGTTGTTGTTTGTAGATCTGACGGGCATAGACGATCTCTTCGATGGTGCCGGCGCTGATTAGCCGGAAGACTTCGACATCGCGAGATTGGCCGATACGGTAGGCACGATCTTGTGCTTGAAGGTCATGCGAGGGATTCCAGTTGGGATCGACAATGACAACCTTGTTGGCGGAAGTTATGTTGAGTCCGACACCGCCAGAGCGGGTGGAGATGAGAAAGACGAACTGGCGTGGGTTGGAGTTGAAGTCGTCAACAACTTTAGTGCGCTCTTCATAGCTCATAGACCCATCGAGGTAGCTGACGTTGTAGCTGGTGTAGTGAAAGAGCATCTGGAGCATCTTGAGGAGGCGCACACTGTGGCTGAAGACAAGCACCTTGTCGCCATTGGCGTGCCACCACTTCAGCAGTCGGCGGAGGACCTTCCATTTACCACAAAACTCAGGGTTTGCGTAGTTGACAATAGAGTCCCGGGAACGGTAAAGCTTTTCCCATTGCTCGGGGACAGCCAGTTCCAGCATCTCTTTGTCCTTTTCTTGCTTCTCGTTAGAGTCGATTCCCTGCGGGATGAGGATTGCTAGGTGGTTGCTGAGTTTCTGCAGCACTGCTATCGCGGGAAAGACATAGCTTCGCCAGGTGAGCCCAGATGGTAGAAACTGACGACAGCACCAGCCGGCTTTCTGCCGGGAACCACAGTCGCAAGGGTCGCTGGAGTGTTTGATATAGCTGACCATGTCGCTTCCCAGAATGTTCACGTAGGCGTCAGCCTGAGTATCAGTGAGCGGACAGAAGACGACCCGGTCAACCTTCTTGGGGAGCTGGTCTGCAATCAGTGTCTTCATCCGGCGAAGGAAGAACTGCGGCAAGAGGTTCTCCACCAATTTCTTTGCCGTCTTTCGCGCTCTACGCAGCTGATGCACGGTGGCGTCGTGTGACTGACCAATTTTCAAAGGTTCAGAAATGGTCTTCTTCCAGACAGTTACCGGGCCGAGCATCCCCGGGTTCGTCCAGTTCAGAAGGGTCCAAAGCTCCTCGTATTTGTTCTGAATGGCAGTTCCGGTCAAGCCAATTCGGCAAAGAGCGTTGATCATGTTCATGGCTTTAGTCGTTTCCGACTTGCGCTCCTTGATGACATGACACTCATCCGCTATCACACAATCCCAGTCGACCATGTTGATAGCATCCTTGTTGTGGAGATAGGTACTATAGGTGGTGATCAGGATTTCCAGTCTTCCGGACCGCGCAGCTTGGAGCGCAAGCTCCTTATTCTCTCCATGGTAGGTGTCAAAATGCCACCAGCCCCAACGCGAAAGCTCGGCCATCCAGTTCTTAAGAAGAGTCCCTGGGCAGACAATCAACGTTCGGGGATACCACTGATCGTGCCCGCTTCTCCGCATCTTTCTCATTCGCTTGGCGTCTCTCTCATCGCCTGTCTTCCCATACGCCGCTGTGAGGAAAGCAATAACCTGCACCGTCTTTCCCAGACCCATGTCGTCTCCGAGAATTCCACCCTTCTGGTAAACGAATAGCTCATGGAGAAAGGCAGCTCCATCGACCTGATACTGGCGCAACCATTGTGCGATCGGGGCTGGTATGAGTCCCAACGAATAAGGAAGAGTGATGTCCTTGTACTGATTGCATGGCTTCATATTCTCAAAAGTAGGCTTTTCCGCCAAAGATTCCAATCTCTCATCGTCGGAAAATTCAACATCGTCGTAACCCGGAGGCAGTTTCAGTCCGGATTGCTTCAGATACTCTGTCCTCCGGTCAAATTGCGATCGCCGTTTCTGGAGATAATCCGGTAAAGTATATTCCATCAGATCATCCTCGGATGACACTTCCTCTCCGTAGACTCGTAATGGCCGTCTCGGGCGGGCTTTCCCCTCGGAAGTTGGGAGTCGGCCGACGATGGAGTTTGAGTTTGCGACTCTCGTCACCTTCGCAGCTCTATTCTTCAGATTTGCGGTGCTCCGTTTCCGTTTCGTGGCCTTTCGATTCTTGAACTCCTTGTAAGCGGCCTCGCCCTCATTGAAGGAGTCATCTCCGCTGTCGGTGTCGACCACCTCCACGACTGCGTGGCTCTTCTTCTCGAGTGGCGAAGAGGATTGCTTGACCGTAGTTGGAATAGTATTTGTTGGCCGGCGTGGAGTCGTCACTTCAGACTTTGGGGCATAGTCCCTATCTATGATCATCGAGGAGTCAGATATGTCTTGTTACTAGGTATAGATAAGGTGCGGGGACAAACCAGCGACAGAAAGCGAAGTAGGCTGTAAAACCAACGGGCGTGTCCCGTCGAGATCATCGTCATCTGATCCGACCGTAGTCGCATCCGTATCCTCGATCTCCACGTGTGAGCCCATGTCCGCCTGAGCTCTGGCAGAAGCTATCTAGACCGACCGTTGAGGGGAAGGCTGAAGCAAGTGTAAGAGAGATGGAGATGCGGAGACGCGATGGAGTCAAACGGGCTTCCCGATTGGGCAAGCAGCTGACTGAAGAATTCCGCGCCGAAAAGTCAAACTCCGCAACCAATTCCCCTCTTCTCCGCCCATTGCTCGCCCTCGACTTGAAGCTGAGCCTGCATACTGCGTCGCTTTGTACCCGTGCTCGAACTGAATTCTCCGATCCGGCTTCTTTATCCCTTTGACAAAATTTGACAGCGCATGGTGCGGGGAACCACGCCAAAACTTCCTCCATCTTGATTTCGGCATACCGATTGACGCACCTCCCAGTTCACAATGCCTCTCGACACATCCACAACATATCCCCTCACCAAGCTTCGCCTTGATGGCCGTCGCTGGAATGAGCTTCGATTGCTCCAAGCCCAGATCTCTACGAACCCCGCCAGTTCGGGCTCATCCTACTTGGCCATGGGCAACACCGCGATCCTGTGCTCCGTCCACGGTCCCGCAGAGGGACGTCGCGGTGATGCCACGGGTGGTGCTGCGGGATCAGCAGGTGCGGTAGTAGAGGTGGATGTCAATGTTGCAGGATTTGCTGGAGTGGATCGCAAGCGCAGAGCCGGCGGAAGTGACAAGTACGTTTCTCACTATCGTCATGTCTGTAGTGTCTGCTATGACTGGTACTGACTGAATTCTTGAACAGACAATCTTCGCGCGTCGCAACGATACTACGCTCTGCTTTCCAGTCGCATCTTCATACCCACCTCTACCCCCACAGTACAATCAGCATCCACGTCTCAGTTTTGTCGTCAGACGGATCGCTCCTCGCCGCGGCGGTCAATGCCTGTACGCTGGCGCTTGTGGATGCCGGTATTCCTATGCCAGGACTCCTCTGCGGGTGTACGTCAGGAATGAGCGGCAGTGCGTCTACGCCGCGGGATCCGAATAATGACACATTGGATCCGCTGCTGGACTTGTCTCTGCCGGAGGAGCAGGAGCTTCCGTTCCTTACGGTGGGGACGACGACGGCTGTACCGGTGGGAGAGGCGGCTATGATTAACGAAGACGAGGACGAGATGAAGGTAGCGATGCTGACGATGGACTCCAAGGTGCATTGCACATACGTTGAGACAATGCTGGCGGTGGGAATTGACGGGTGCAAGCAGATCCGGGAGATCTTGGAAGGGGTGATCAAGAAGTCGGCACGCCGGTGATGACTTGGATTTGAATTCTGTTTCTTTATATCTGCTATCTGGGATCTTCTACAGGGCAGCGCGATAGGGCGAGTTCTGTTTATACCCAGTGATTGCCATGAGGTGTTGGGCGCGGCGGGATGGATCGTTTCAATGTGATATTTGAATATTCCAGCGAATACAGCCAAGTTGCTAATCATGATGTCTGTAGATGCTACCTTAGATGCTACCGTAGATATCTGCTGTAGATGTCTGCAGTTCACTTGATTCACTGTGTGCTCGTGGGCCCACTGGTCAGAGCTACCTGCATAGTGTGCTCAAATCTAGAGACCGTCTCCCTTGACGCGGCATGGACTCTTTCTACTGATGAGCGCGTTATTACTGATTCATACTGAAATAGATGAGGGAGATTGATGTTTGTACAAGAACACGCTTCTGACATACACGTATCCAAAGTCAGAAACCTAGTCCCTAACCTCTGCTATCTCTTCCTCACTGCTGGTTCTTCTTTTCTCCAGAATACTCTTGATCTGTCTCTACAGTCCTTACCAACTACCCTTCCCATCCTTCCATCCATTCACCTCAGTCATCAACCCCCAAACACCATAAACAACATGAACATGACCACAGAAACCACCGCATCAGCCATCACGAGCACGAGCACCACTACCACCATGGCCATGGCCATGGCCTCTACCAACTGCAAGATCTCAGTACACCCCCCTCCCCACCACCTCCATCCCAAACCTGTACCTCCCTACTAACCATACCCAGATGCTCTGGAACTGGAACACCATGGACGCTTGTAAGTCATCCAACACTGCCCAAAACCAAACCACCCACCCAAGACACTAACCCCAAGCAAAAGGCTTCATCTCCTCATCCTGGCACATCACCTCCCCAAGCATGTTCGCCGGCTCCTGCATCGGAGTCATCCTCCTCGTCATCTGTCTAGAACTTCTCCGTCGAGTTGCCAGCGAATACGACGCGTTCATCATCAACCGCGCCAGACTCAAAGCACAATCTCTAGATACTGATCAACCCAACATCACAGTCCCTAATGACCTTTCCACAGACACACCTGTCAAAAGACCCATCCCATGGACGCAATCAGGCTCACTTTCAGCTCTACCTCCTGTTCCGGAGTTAGTAGAGGAGGATGAACCAATACCTATTGTGCCAGCTACTACATCACATAGTAGTATACACCCCGAGAACCAGTCAAAATTCATATTCAGACCCAGCAAGTTTGAGCAACTCATCCGAGCCACATTGCATGTGTTGCAATTTGCAGTGGCGTATTTTGTGATGCTGCTGGGGATGTACTACAATGGGTATTTTGTGATTTGTATCTTTGTTGGGACGTTCGTGGGGTTTTTGCTCTTTTCGTGGGGGGATCTTGGTACTAGGGAGTGAGTGATTACCTTATTATTACTGGATTGTGCTTATGCTGTCTGCTGGTATTGGTAGCTGACGATGAGTGTGTATGTATGTATGTTCAGGATCAGGAACGACGCCACATCCGTGACTAGATGGTGCGGCTAGGTGGGTGGGTGTTGGAGCTTAGTTTGACGTGATGCCTTTCTGGTGATATTGAGATGTTGCGGTGGGTATGTTGGAGAAGGGTGTGGTTTTTTTCAAAGTGTTTGAAGGGTGGATAGGGTAGGAGATGGTGTATATGTATGTTGGAGTCTTTCTTCGGGGTGAGATACTACTTGTCGACTGTGAGTACTATCAAGGGATAGCACCAGTGGTGATAGATCAATACATCTATCATGCATAAGACACAATGTTACTAAGAGTCTGGATACAATATGCCTGTTATAGAGACTACACGTCATGACTATTCTCTCATTAGAAAGGAGAAAGAAATACTACCGGATAATATGACGATATCATAAACTATCTCCTAGATAAGATAATGCCTGAGAATCAATCTATATCACAACTTATAGAGATACCTTACTACATAAACATCAGGAGAAGTGTGTTTCTCACTGACTGAATGAAATAAATGGGACTCTTGAAACTAACACAACTACGCCATACTCCCTCTCCGATCACATCATACTTTAGCTTAGCTTAGCCCAGCTGAGCCCCCAGCCTTGGCCAGCTCTCAACCCCTCACTTTCACCTTACTAACCAACTTCCAAGGTAGTTAGTTAACTTACGTATACATACCCATCCATCTAACTATGGAACACTATGCAGACAGACAAAATACTATATTTAAGTTCCAGTCATATGGCCAGAAAAGAAGGAACAGGATAAATGAATGAACAAAACACAGACCTGCTCACAACTGCCCTATAATACCAATAGTAGTCTCATTAAAGCCTCCTGCATGCAACACAGCAGCAAGCAAGCAAGGAATGGAATGGAATGGGGATGCGAGCCGGCCGTATTCGGAACCGGGAAACCAATCCGAGGTTCGAATTGCACTGCTTTGCCCCCCTCCCCTCCCCACCGGAGAAAAAAAGAGGGTTGAAGTGTGTTGGAGCGGGGTTGAGTTGTTAGTAGGACGGGTTTAGTGCTAGTCTAGGTTGCCACGTTCGGTGGGATGTTTGGCTGATTTTAGAGGTAGGTTATGTAGGGATTTCGTCACTGTGTGGTTATTTACGAGGTGGTATTACTTGGATCTTTTCTATCAATACTGTGAGAATTGTAGAGAAATGCATATAGTTACTGCAATACGATGGTACAAGCTTGAAGGAAACTTATCGACAATTGGTATGGACACTCTAGATTACACCGGGTAGGGAGAAAGAGAATTGTCCACCATTAATCCTCACAATGCTGGTCTACACCAGCTCGTGGGATGATATCCCAATTTTGCCATCTGTTATCCTTGAGAACCGCTTACAACTCACCGCAGCCGACGATGGTGGGCTTGACGTTGGAGCGGATGGAGCCGGAGGAGGAGCCGAGAGCCTCGATCTCCTTCACGACCTGCATGGACTCGGCATCGGCAACCTCACCGAAGACGACGTGCTTGCCATCGAGCCAAGAGGTGACAACGGTGGTGATGAAGAACTGGGAGCCGTTGCTGCAGATGCTGTTAGCTGTCTGAAATGTAATTTTACGAGTGACAGTAGAACTTACGTGTTGGGACCAGCGTTGGCCATGGAGAGGAGACCGGGCTTGTTGTGCTTGTAGATGAAGTTCTCATCGGCGAACTTCTCACCGTAGATGGAGCGACCACCGGTACCCTGGAGGTTGATATCAGTCAAATCGTTCTCTCCCACACAGCCGCCCACGGAGGCGGATCAAAATGGCAGGATTACTCACGTTGTGGCGGGTGAAGTCACCACCCTGGAGCATGAACTGGGGGATGACACGGTGGAAGGTAGAGCCCTTGTAACCCTCACCCTGGGGCTTGGTGCAGAGCTCACGGAAGTTGCGGGCGGTCTTGGGGACGTCCTTCTCGAAGAGGTTGAAGTTGATACGGCCCGTCTTGGCTAGAGAGCAGGGGAAACGTTCAAAGTCAGCCAAAAAATTCCAGCAACCATTGAGAGAATGAATGTCAATCCAAGGAATGATAAGGAGATCGCTATTGTGGGAGAGTGCCTTCCATAGAAGGCAACCCAGCAACCCCCATTTTCTTCACAAGGAGGGGTAAAAGCATCCATGAAGGAAAAAGGGCGACGACAGCAGCGAAAAACGACGAGAAGGAGAAGAGAACAACTTACGGGCACTGGAGCCCACGGGGGCGTACTGAACGTCAAAGTAGGCCTTGGTGTTTCCAGACATGGCTGCGGATGATTGATGGAAAGGACGAAGAGAGAGGAAGGAAGATTGCTTGCAATTGGGGATGGAGAAGAGGGGACGAGAAGCGAAGGGCGAGCAAGGTGGGGTTATTGTTGACCTCAGGCTTCGGGAGAACATTGTTGCTGGAGGGGCACTGGCTGGCTAACCGCTTCCGTCCTGTGCGTCAGCCCATGCGCGCCAATCATGCAACTTGCCAGGCCATCCGCCGTGGGCCTCAGGCCGCTCCGTGGAAGAACATGGAAGTCCTCCGACCGTCCAGTAGTGAAGTGAGTAGCTACCAGCTACTCTAGTAGTAACTTAAGTAGCTTGCTCACTCCAAAGCAACCGGACCAGGGGGGGGGGGATAACTGCCATTGGTCCCCTTATATCATCGGGGACGGCCAATGCAATCGGGATGCATCACTTACAGTACTATCTAAAGAAAAGAATTGAGGTAGAAAAGAATAATATCTCGTCTCACGAATTGCGGTAGCTGGTTGCTTGCTGCTTTGCTGGCGTGGAGAGCAAAAAGAACTGGAGAAACCGCGTCGGACAGCGGAGGAAAATATTCCTGCTACTGCCCCAACCGGGGATAGCTCATGATTAGCTAAGACCCGGTTCGGTCGGAAGCTTTCCAGAACCAGAAATGGTTCTCACCTTTACAACAGCGCTAAGACAGCTGATCGTACACGTGATTGACCACTCACCACCTGTTTACTATGTAGTAAGGCGATTCTTAATAGTTTCTCTGATATCTACCAGGGAAGCTGTCAACATTTACTACTCCATTCATCGCGGAAAGCTATGGCCGCAGCCAATCGTATACCACCATCACCAAATCTATCTATCGAGCCATCTAAAAGGACTCCAGGAAAACAATAACCACGGCACACAGGAGAAAGAAGACCCCCGTATGGTCAATTCGAACGTCAGAAAAGAAGAAGCAATTCCGGGGGAGGTTGAACATATAAAGAAAATGCCGCAGTATAAATTCTGAAAGAAACACGAAATCAGTCCAGTCCTACAAGGACCATCATGCAGAAAGGAAGAAAAAAGCGCTAATCAAATAGAAGCAGAGAAAAATATCAACCGCAAATCCAAAATAAATCAACAGAAGATAAAGAAAGGGAGAAGCTGAATAAAAGTACATCGCTCCTGAAATCAGGGTGCGTCTGGGAGAAAACAAAATCTGTCGTAAAGCTCCACCAGATTACAACACGTCGTTCCACATGGTTGCTCGTTGTCATGCGTGATAACTGCAAAAGTAAGGAAAGCGAGATTGTAAGGTCCAGCAGTTCGGTTGGTATCATGGTGCCAAATCAGCATGCTAGAAAGAGATAGAAGTGAAAAGAGAATAACGCCACTGCGATTCTCGGGCTGAAGAAGCCTAGAAAGAAACAATATCATGATGACCCTCAGGCGGATAGACTATCGGAAATCGTCCTCCTCCTCAAGGCTCGCCGGGTCCAATTGATGAGCAAGCTCCTTGGTTACCCGGGGAATCTCAAACGCAATGGGTGGAAGCTTGTTGGTTACTTCCCGAAGCCCCTCAGGACTGCTAGAAGCCTCGCCCTCGGCCGCAGCGCCTACGAGGCGGTGCTTGTGGTATTCCAGCATCTCGAGGACAGGATCAATGCGTTGTCGAAGAGCCGGGCTAGCCTCTGGTCTCTTGACAAAGTGCTGAACCGACGAGGTAACATTCGTCACCACAGAAGAGATAGCAGAGACGTGGGTGCTAATCGTGGTCAAATCACGATCGGCTCGGATGCTGTCGATGAGGGCTTGGATTGACTGAACCAGTCCATTCGTCTGATCCTCAACGTAAAGCTGTCGCCTCGGTTAGCACACATTACCAGTATCTAGAGATATTATAACATACCTTCATCTCCTGAAGTTCGTGGTTCTCGGCTTGCGCGCTGTAGTCTTGCACTGCCACCGAAATTCCGTGGGGAGCGTCGGGCGGGGGGCTCATGGCACTGTAGACGGAATCATTGCGACTGTGTCGGCTTTGACTAGGAGCCACGCTGAAGTAGTCCGGGGACTTCATCTGACTAAACTGAACATCGTCGTCGTCCTCATGGGACTCATCAGGTGGAGTGGATCGGATCTTGACGAGGCGTATGAGTTCAATAACAGCAGCCGACAGATGAGAAGCAGCGGCATCCAAAAGGGAGACAGGTGAAAGCCCGTTGGACTTCACGAAATTCTTGGCTGCCGTGATCAGATTGTTCGCGGTGGTAGAAAGCTTGCTTATAGCCTTCGAACGCAGTGCCGATGACCCATCGCTAGGATCTTGACTTTCTTGCACGTCCTGCAGCATATGCCGTACCGCCATAACAACAGCATTGATCTGGCGTGTCACGACATGGTAATCTTCGTGGCGTGCAGTGTGTAGTAATTCGTCAATAGATATCTGGAACTTGGCGACATGAACATCCTTGACCAAGCCATTTTCATGGAAGATGTCACGATCCCTCGTAAGAGTTGCGGCATCGGAACGGATTTCTGTCCCGATAGATGATGTGCGAAGGTGTCCTGCCTGCGCCTTTGCCTTCTCATAGCGGGTCTTCCATTGTTTGACTTGTTCCTCCAATCTGTGAACCTCGGTCGTAAGTTGCTCCTCGTGTTCCCACCGAGACTGGCTTTGCTCGGACAACTCCCTCATCTCCCTCAGGAAGCCAGCTGCCTCCCGTCTGACCTCTTCTGTCACTGACCGCTGCTCTTGCAGCTCAGTCTGCAGGCTTTGATGCTTGATCTCAAGATCAGCAAAACGGGCTTGCAGCTCTGGATCACCAGTGCTTTGGCGTGATGCTTCTTCCAACTGGCTCCGGAGGTCCTTTTCAATGGCCTCATGCTCGGCCCGAACCTTGTCCAATTCCAGCTGCAGATTGCTGTTCAGATCCTCAGCCTGGGAGATTTTGCTCTCCAGATCCGACTTCAGATCCTCCCATTCTTGCCGTTCGCTGCTAGTGACCTGTGAATCCGGTTAGCAAGCGCAATCAATGGGAGTCGAGAAAAATCGTCTGCCTACATCTGACGTTGTTTGACTCTCTCGGTATTTAATGAGCTCCTCATCCTTGGACTTGACCAAGTCCTCCAAGGTCTCAACCTTGCTCTGATCTTCCTGGTACTTGGATATCTCCTCATCCTTAGACTTCAACAGATCCTCGAGCTTGTTCACCTTATCCTGCAAAGCAGAAACCTGGGATTGAGTTTCCGCCAAAGCCTTTCTGTCGGCGTCTGCTAGAGTAGCCCCTGTCCCCCGCCGACTTTGCAGAACCGCATCTAGAGCAAATGCATCGCTCCGCGCATCATAATCGTCCTCCGTACCTGCTCCATCATCATCGTCCTCGACCATAGTACTCTTGTTCGGGACAATAGTGTTACTTTGGAATGATTTGGCCATTGGACCATCACCGTTCATGCCTGGCGGCGGCCCACCAAGTGACCCTTGGCGTGGGGGATACATCGGACTTGCTGGAGGTCCACCAGAGGGATAGCCCATTCGAGACGGAGGGCCACGAGACTGCGAACGCGGCCCTCCCGGCGTCGGGGGGTATCCGTTCGGTGGATAGCCATTGGATGGCCGTCCGCGGTAGCTGGGAGCCGGACTCAACCGACGAGATTCCCTAGAAGGAAACTGAGGAAACCGTCGCTCTAACTCGGTATAGACATCCGTCGCGAGATCTCGAAAACGCTGGTGCTGAAGGGAAGCAAGCTTTTGGCGCGCCTGGTTGCGCTTTTCATGGAAATCCTTGCGTGGTGGCAGGAATGGGGGAATATCAGGACGAGGGGGTCGATTCGGAGCCGGCATGGCTGCTTGTCGCCGGAGCAGTTCATCATAAACGTCGGTACTTAGTTCGTGAAATTGAGTGGCGGAGAGTCGTAGCAGCTTGTCGCGGGCTTTGCTTGACTTGCTTGCTCGATCATCACGATGGGACGCATGAAGGAACCTCCTGAGGGCAACGTAGTGCTGGCCTAGGACCTCCTCCATCCGCTTGTGTCGCTTGCTGCGTTGATCCGACAAAGTACCATCACTCGATCGCGCTGCCACCGAGCTCGGGGGAGAGGGATTCCCGGCATCGCTGACCGTGCCCGATGAACCGTTTGTCAGTCCTGCGCCATTTGAACCGCTGGGTACACCGGAGGTAGGAGGTGTGGCAAGGGCGCTGCGAGTCGAGAAGGTCGGGGAGAAAGGCGGATCCGATTTCTGATACTGATTGATGCCGGACCAGTCACTCCCGTCCACGGAGACAGGCGACATAGTCCCGGAGGGAGCGTTCATAGGGGGGTTTGCTGTCGGTAGGCCCGGGGGCTCCGTGCTCGCTAACAGGAAGGGGAGATATGGGTCGGTCCAAAGCCAATATGCTTATCAGTATGCATCCGAGGTAGGGTGAAGTTGCGACTCCAAGGCCATTGATGAGGACTGAGTATAGGTATCTGAAAATCGGAGGATTTCGCTCGTGGCGGGTGATAAGGAATGGACGGCCGCTGCGACTGGGAGGGGGCTAATGCTTCCTCCGAACAGAATGAAAACAAAGGAAGGAGGAATCCGATGCGGAATGTAGAATAGAACGTGCCGGAGGCACCGTTGTCAACAGAAGTCGGCACGGAGATACGACCGGTCACCAACAGGCATACCAAATTAAATAAATTAAATTGTAGCGACCACGAAAAAAAGACCTAAAGCGGCGGCCTTTGGGGAAGGGGAAAGGAAAATAGATCAGTAGGGATTGGACCCAGGCAGAAACAAGCAGCGGGAGAAGCAGCAGCCACCGCCGAAGTTGACCTGGGTTTGGCGACGCCCCAAGGAGTGGAGTTTGGAAAAAGGGCCGGACTAGGGAGTGGCCGAACTTCTTTTGGGGGGAGAGGAGGAGGAGGAGGACTTGGAACCCAAGGGGGAAAAGGTTGAATGAATGACTGACTGACTGAATGAATGGAGATGGATGAGAGATGGACTAGGCTAGAAAGATGGAGCCTGGGGGGGAGAGACGGGCGGACACGATGGTGAGTGAGCAAGTGAGAGAGCCAACGACCACTTTCTTCCTCTTGGAACGGGAAATTATTTGGCGGCTGATGGAAGATACATCCACAATACCTACTCAGGTACCTTACTAGAAACCTTGGAAAGAACTCCGTTCATACCATACATACCTGGAAGGTATGGTACGGTATGTTCGTACGACCTCAACCTCCATGCCAGAAGCGCCTGTCGCGGACAAGTTCTTTTTCAACTTACCTTCACTTTTTTTCTCCACGGATCTTTGCGATCTTGGATGTGCGATCAGCTGGAGTTATCATTCTTATCCATGATCCATCCTTACTTATCGCGAGTAAACCTGAGACATTTTCCATCATGACATCGGGCACTAGAACTTTGAGTGGGTTGCTACAACTACAATTCTGAGACAACAAACAACCACCTTCTTCAACCCTACCTACCAGAAGCCAAAGAACGCCTGGGATAAAGACAGTACCGTGAATGGCTCATTCTGCCTCAACCTTTGGGTGCTAAAGTAGGTTGTGTATGGTACGGGACCAGACAAGACAAGTTGCAAAAATAATACTCCACCGCCCATCCGCCAGGAACCGATCGAGCCTCGCCCGGTGTGGCGGTGATGCTTTGTGGCCCCCCCCCCATTTCTCTTTAGTGAGTTGAGTTAGTACCAACTCTCCCTTTTCCCCGACCGCGGAACCGACAGAACTGACACAAACACTCACTCTCCCCTTCCTCCATTCTTCAGTACAGCATGCTTCTCCTTCCTTACCTTCCACATGGATTGTGATTCGCTAGAAGGTGTATAAATAAAGTAACATGCAAGTAAAATGAAGTCATCAAGCATGTTTCGATGCTGCATGTTACATGCACACAATCGCTGAAACGGCTTTGCTGGATGTACTCTTGAGTCGAATGAGTTTCCCATTCTGGCCCAGCCCCCAACGCTCGCTCCATTTCCTCACCCAGTGCGCGCCTCCACATAGTTCGAGGCTAGTTCAGGAGGTGCTCAAATTACTGCCTGCTTCGGCCATCCTCCAATCCTCTGATCTTTGGGGTCCAGACCTTCCCTTCATCTTCCTTGTCGCTTCTTCTCTGCTTTCTTTCCCGTGCGTTCGAGCTAGATTCGCTCGTCTCGTTGCCTGGGCTATAATTATACTTTTACTTACCCCAACACTGCCCGGCATCCCGGAGACTAGATGTATTAAGTGTATTGCATGTCTATCAGGGGCAAGGAAGCAATTGAAGCTGCCCAGTCCGGCCAGAAGTGAGTATGTTAGTTACTTTCAGCGGAGATCCCGTGCCTCCGACTCCACATTTCTGGGAAGGTCACGGTCACGCCTTTCTCTCTCTCTCCCCCCGTCTAGATACTATTCCTCGCACGGTGGACAAGACAAGAAACATGTAATGTCTGCCGCGGAGGACATTGCTCAATGTTATGGAATGGCTCAGAGTCTAAGAGCATAGACAATCCCAAGAAGAGAATGAACCCCAAATCAAAAGAAGAAAAAAGAATAGAAGAAAAATAAAATAATGAACAGAAAAATAACTTGAATCAAAACCCCTGGATATCTTACTCCATACATAATCCGATTAACATCATGACCGAATCTTTCAAACAGCGAATCTTCCTGCTCTCGAAGAACTCGGTTTTGATAATCTCCGGGTCTTTTGCGATTTCCCGCCGCCAATCGATCCGCAGTCTGGTCGATTCATATCAAGCACATCAGAGGTTCCATGCTCCACCCACGGTCCAGCATGAGATGCGCAGGCCACATAACAAGCCAAACCACGAAATATGTATATGCTATAAAATGTACAATACAGGTTGCCGCACTGCTAAGACAAACGGCAGATGCCATCCCAAGTAGCGACGGGCCAAAAAATGCCAGAAAAGGTATCTTGGAGGTCAGGAAGAAGTGGGCGGAGAGAGGTTCGGGGAAGGGAATCTGCTAGTAGCAGTATTATCGGTGTACATAATCTCATCACGTAGCGGGTCGGCGAGGCGATTGCAAATGCATTAATCGCCCCGTTCATTTCGAGGAGGTCATAGCAAGGCCACGAGCTGCGCCGACGGCGGCAGACACAGGCGTTGCTGAGCGCGTAGGAGCAGCGCTGCGGTTGTGGGCCATGTGTGCCCGGACAAGGTGACCTGCCGCAAGAGCAGAGCACAGACTCAGCTCACCTGCAAGGACTGCAGCAGCCACGATCCGTGCAAGCTGACGGGCATTGTCACCAGGGTTGGTGGGGTGAGAGCCGCGCACCCCCAGGAATTCAAGCATGGCAGATTGTCCTTCCAGGATCGTGCCACCGCCGATGGTTCCGACTTCGATAGACGGCATCGACACAGCGATCTGGAGATTGCCGTTAAGGCTAGAAGTAATCGCAATCAGTATATAGTTCCCCTGTCATAAGCTTTGTAATGGACAGGAATGACTTACTTTCTCATAGTAGTAATACAACTGCTGCTTTCCACGTTCTGGGCAGGATCTTGACCAGTGGCAAGGAAAACAGCAGTGACAATATTGGACGCATGTGCATTGAAACCACCCAAGCTTCCTGCCATGGCACTACCAATCAGGTTCTTACTGGTGTTCAGCTCAACGAGGGCATTGACATCACTCTTGAGGACGTTGCGAACGATCTCGCCAGGAATGATAGCTTCCGCCACAACTGACTTGCCACGTCCGTCAATCCAGTTCACTGCGGCAGATTTCTTATCAGTACAGAAGTTACCGGAAACCGAGATGGTGGCCATGTCATCAAAGCCGCACTCAGTAGCCATCACGTTGAGCGCCTTTTCGACACCCTTGGAGATCATGTTCATGCCCATAGCATCACCAGTGGTGGTCTTGAATCGGATGTACAAGTAGGTACCAGCAAGAGCGGTCTTCATGTGTTGAAGTCGGGCGAAGCGGCTGGTAGAGTTGAATGCAGCCATCATGATGCTTTGGCCCTCTTCCGAGTCAAGCCAAACCTTGGCAGCAGCAGCTCGTGCAAGCGTAGGGAAGCCGACACAAGGACCACGCGTCATGCCGTCACCAGTCAGAACTGTAATCGCACCACCACCGGCATTGATGGCTTTAGCACCACGGCTGGTACTAGCCACCAAGACACCTTCAGTAGTAGCCATAGGGATGAAATAGCTTTGACCGTCAATCGTGAGGGGACCGGCAACACCAACAGGCAGAGGCAGATAACCAATGACATTCTCGCAGCAGGCACCGTGGACCAGAGTGTAGTTGTAATCCTTGTAAGGAAGCTTGGAAGTTTCCAGGGAGCTCGTGAACTCAGAAGTGGCCGGAGTCCGGGCCACGACAGATCGGCGGATCTTGACGGCGCGCGTGAATGCATCGAGGCGGCTCATTAGGTCCTCATTTTCCATGGTCTTCTCGAGAGCATATCCCGGGATCTTGCCTCGCAATGACAGGTCAACCAATTCCTCGTCTGACAAGTAGGCAGCCCGCTTCTCCTTCAGGAGCAGTTCGCATTCACCAGCAGACCGCTTGGGGCTATCTTGGTTGTTCAGATCAATTGTGGGATAAACCTTGGGCTCCGGGGGTTCCACCTTAGGGGCGGCGGCCTCAGGCTCCTTGATGCTCCACCTGGCTGCGTTGAAAAGATAACCGTTCAAGACGATGCTCAGGGTCAGAGCTGCGATAATCCATTTGCTGATAATCGGGTCTTCAATACTCTTCAGCAAGCTTTCGATGACACGGCCACCAACAGCGTCCAAGAATTGGTCGCTGTACTCGATGTCAAAGGACTGACCCTCCCCAAAGGCAGCGTAGTGCACAGAGGGGTACTCGAGTTTATACTTGATCGGGGGAATGACGGTCACAATCGTCTCCATCATCTGGCTCTTCGCGGAAACATAGATCGAGTCGAGTCCATTCTCGGCCACCTTAAAAGGATCAATCGGCGTGGGAGCGAGTAGATTGGAGACGCGCGACAACAGGGGAAGACCAGTTGATTTGCGGAAAGGAATCGCGGAGAGATTCACAACGTTGACCAGGATAAAGCCTCCAACCATGAGGATCTTGAAGCGGCGGACATTGCTAGACTTGATCTTCTTTCCGAAAAGGCTGGCGTCGCTTGTTCCATCATTCTCCGACCCTGCTTGGGGCCAATCATTGTTCGCGGCGACGTTCTCCGCAACACGCTGGGTAATCCCATCCTCCTCGAGGGCTTTGCGAAGTGCGACATGGCGTTTGATGCGAGTAATTTCGAGCTTGATACAGAGGATAGTGGTGTAGAAAGTGAACAGCAAGAGGCAGTCGAAAAACAGGATCCATGCTGCAAGGAAGCAGAACTGCCTCAAACCGCCTTGAACTCCAGAAGCTGCACCGGCCACAAGAATGGCGATCTCGATACAATAGTCCCGAACGATCTCAAAACCTTGCTTCTTGATGGCAGTCTGAATGGAATCCTGGATGGACCGGGGAGTGCTGGGAGCCACCGGGCCACCAGTCTTACCAGCCCGGGCACCTTGGCGCTTATCAACTGAAGCGCTCAGGACAGCTCTGGTGAGAATGATCGGCTTCTCGAACCCAATGGTTACGACCAGGAACGGAAGACCTTCCGACAGAAGCAGCATATTGATGGGAACGCCAAGCTTGGTGGTCACCAGAAGACCAAAGAGGAAGGCAAAGCATCCAGAGAAAAGAACCGTGGTAGCAAGCCAGAAGTTCGAGCCCAAACGCCGCATCGAGAAGAAGAGCGAGACAAAGCTGAGATGCATCGAAAGGTATCCCAGAGTCATGATGACGATGTCGATCGTTTCAGCGTGCTGCATCGGGTTAGCATGGACTAGGCCATATAAAATTTAGAACTAAAGGGCATAAGTACCTTGACCAAATCCACGAAGGAACCCCATGCGTCTGCCAGCCAAAGCTTGAGAGCTCCGCTGGATCCGTAAGCCGGACCGCGAGCAGCCCGCATAATCCATTTCTTCTGCTCTCCTTCATCCTCGTCGACAGAGGGTTCGGGGATCTCCTGAACTGCCTTCAAAAACTGAGGGACCTGTTCGAAAGGAAGTGTGAACACGAGAGACGCGTCATGGGAGAAAGGCGAGAAGAGATTGGGCGTGTGAGGCACCCGTTGTGCGGAGGTATTGGCAGGAATCGGGACACCATCGGCAAGAGGACCGGTGGAAGCTGACTTCGACAGGGAATCCGGGAAAATAAAGGTCGTCAATGCCATATGTTGAGCAGTCTGCTTGAACGGCGGTTGTTAGAAAAAGAACATTGATCTGATGTTTAACATTAATAGACCAGTTATCGACTTACATCATAGTCTTGGGCAGTCAGAGTGTCTTCCACCTGCCATTTCCAGGAGGTACTCTCCCCGAGACGCAGGTTTCTGCTACCCTGAAGAAGGGTGTCCACATCCACTTGGCCGGCAACATCTTTAGGATTTCTAAAAGAGTCGAATAAACTACCTTCAAGGAGACCGACGTAGGTAGTGCTGGCAAGAAGAGCGAATACGACGATCGTGTGAATGGGATGAAGACAGGCACGGCGAGAGAGGAATTGCAAGCCACTGGTGACTTGACGCTTGAGCCATCCAGGCTCAGCATCTTCCTCCACGTCCGTAGACCGGAACTTCCTTGGGATCAAAGTCGCGGCCATGATTGTTGTCGACAGACGAGAAATTCGAAGGAAAGGAGCGGTGTAGACCACGTCTTGGAGGGGGAAAGCGCTCTGGAAGAACGGTGGGTGAACGCGGTGAAACCCTGCGAGGAAAAAAAAAGACTGGCGTGCACCGTCCCACGCTTCACACGGAAGACTCTCCTAGGTATCAGAACCTTATGGGTACCTCCTCCAATGTCAATGGCATGAGGCGAAAGCGATAAACCAGCTGTTGCTTATCGGGACTGTAGGGATGATAGCAGGCGTGCGATCAGTACATCAGACCGTTGGAATGCCGACGGGGGCGAAAGAGGAGGGAAGCGCGGGAAGAAACCTACCTGGCAGCGGAGAAGATGTCGCACGTCTTCTTGCTATGCCTTGGAGCCAAGTTCCCAGCAAAGGCTTCTGACTGAATACACCCCTTTAAGGATTTCCAGGTCGATTCCTGCCCCTGAGGAACGAAATGTGGAAGCACTTCCACGGCGTGGCACACAGGCGGTGGGATTATCGTAAATCCGTGAATTTCGCCGCTTGAACCACAAGACCGCCCAAAGAGCGCGACCAATTACAGGCAAGCGCGGATATGCGGTCCGCTGATAGTCCGTGGGTAGTGTCGGTAGCAGGTTCCCAACAATCCTGGTAAGTAAGGCAGATGTTATGCAGGACCCTAGGATCGACTCTTCAAGCCGTCGATCAGACCTTTGGGTGTGAAGGTAATGGGAGAAGAAAAAGAAGAGGAAGAAGGAAGGAAATGAGTGGAGAGAGAGGAGGGGGGAGCGGCCGACAATAAAGAATTCAAATAGGAAGCAGAGTCGAGGTAGCGAGGACCGGACCAGCCCAAACGGGAATTACTTGGGATGGTTTTAGTAGCCTGGAAACGGTACCATTGTTCTTTTGCCTGGTGGGTATTATTCCCTTACCAGCCAATCCGTACTTTTACCAACCTGACCGTACTCCGCTTATCGGGAAGCTGCCAGCCTCAGGCCACCCATCCACCCACTCCAAATAACCACCTTCATACCACTTGGGATGATGTGAGCTGTATTGAAACCACCGCCGCCGCCCTCAGCTCAAACGCAATCAAGTGACACAAAAGTCCGTCGAACCAGATCGCAGATTACGTTGTACACAGGATTCCAAAGGTGTCTAGTGTCACCATTTGCATAATTCCCGGCCCTACCCCCTGAAGCCCGGGCAAACCAAGACGGGCAAACAGAAACTTCAGCCTCCCGGCAAGCAGCGCGATTGGTACATCTACTACATCGTGACAGGGTCTGCCTTACTAGCGTCCCAGGTCATCTAGATGTTGTTTGCGGACTAACTTAAACGGAGTTTTTCTTCGATGACATGCCAGAGCGTTATCAAAGCACTCTTTCATCTGTCATCAACCTTGCTTCAAATGGATTGGACTGACTCGGCAGTATCATCCAAGTCTTCAGTAGACCGCTTCTTTTGAATAATTGCCCAGGAGTCTGCTCAAAAGCAAGGGATTTGCAGGAAAAATGGCTCTTTAATAGGGTCTCCAAACATGTACTATCCGTCGTAGCATCGTCATTACATCCAAGTTGATGGCATATTTCAGTCATAGTATAGACACAGTTAGTCACGCTCCTCGGTGAAGAAGACTGTCTCGTATGGCTGCAGGTCGCAAACAAATCAGCAACCAATGACTTTCTATAATTAAAAGAAGATGACCATCAGCGCCCGGAGAGCTGTTAAGAAAGCGCGTCTTTCGACTTCGTACGCAGCTTGTATTTGATATGCAAGGCGTAATGGCTTTGAATGCGTTAGGTAATCTAAAGTAAGTTACCATCGCCAGTTCTATCATAGTGTCCAATCTGGGTTGAAGCTGCATCCACATCGGACTCCAACCTGCAGCCCAAGGTCCTGAATATTCCCTCATCCTTTCGGGGATGGGTGGGACGGTGGACACCGGGACAAGGAGACCATGGCCACTGAAGAGTCGTGATTCATCGGAGATAACGCACGATACCCACCTATTTTCATCTAATCAATCTTTTCATCTCTGCCACAAAAGGGCTCCATCGGGTCGTTGCTGTTTCGCTTCGAAATATGTTTCTGAAATCAGTGTGTATACCGACGGATGAGCGGAAGCTCTGGTGTCCAAACCTTGACAAGTTGCTGGCCCATAAGACCTGAACGTACTTTGTAAACCAGCATCCCTACCGAGCGACCAGCAGATCTCGGAAACCCAAAAGAAAAACCAGATTTCGCTTGCGGGCCAAAGCGCGTACGCAACCCAGTGCGATCAGAGTGATATCACAGAGAGCACACGAAGGTTAACTGCCTCGAATGTGTAAATCGCATTACGGCATCGAATTTGCCTGTCTTATTTTGTTCGATGGCTTCTGCGTAGTCGGACAACGGTCGCGGGATCAGAGGTTGCCTGAGTCTGGATATGATTGGTACTGATGGGACCGTCGACGGTCGGAGACGCTGGATTTTACTTGATTCAGCAATGGGGACGGTGGGGATCGCGTAGTTGCCAAGGAAGTGCAAAATGAGCGTGGAAGAAACATTCAGGTGCGACAGGTTCAGCTCTTTGCTTTGGCTGAGTCTGCTAACGGACAAGGCCGCTGAGAAGCTGCAGTGGCCATTGCGGATGTGTCCCTGGATAATGTGGTTATAATGTGGTACCCGAGAAGACCTGTCACCCATCTCATGCATGGTATGCGACAGGCACTAGAAGGACTGACGGAAAGCTTGATATCTGACAGATCACATTGTAAGTTTCTGCTCTATTCAGATGCAGCTTCATTATTCCAGGACCATCTGAATCACTACTGACCGACCACCTATTTAGCTTGTCTGGGAATTCAGTCTTGTCAGCGCGCTTTGTTTGCTCAGGCTAGAGAGAGCGGGGCGCCCGTGTTTCAGCGATCCCCAACACGGCGCCTCTACACCCAATATCAACAGAAGTCTGCGCGGTAGGCGACAGAGAATTCTGAAGCCTTGATGCAAGTCATAGAGCAAAATTAGACACACATGTCTCTCGTGTGTCACCTGTATTAGTTCTGCACGACGGAGCGCTACTGAGGACACCCAAGCCAATTAGCGCCCTCGATGGTCTTCAACGTCTTCACATCTGCAACACGGGAGATCGTCTATAACACACTTTCTGTCATGAGATTTTGCTTCCAACCAGATTAAGCGCTGTTGCTAATTTCAGATTCTGATACCCAGGATACCTTGCTATGCACGTTTGACTCAATCAGCTTTGTAGTACGGCTCAATCCAGCAGCTACTACCAATGACTCAAGGTCTTTATCTGTGACATATCGGGAACCAGAAAAGCTTGGTAGGACGAGCATGGCGATCGATTGGATATGAATAGACCGTGACGATGACTTCAATCGTTTCTGGCATCATCCTTAGCGCCTGCAAAGAATAATCTCTCTTGGCGCTGGTTTATTCACTTGCCAGGATGGGCGTGTTTCAAATGACCTGATCACATTGGGCATTGTGGTCGATCCCCATATGTTTTCTTTCGGGCTGCGAGCAAACACGGGCTATAGAGAAGAAGATAAAGATGGAGAGCGGGACATTCAGATAAATACTTATTGCGGGTTCGTCCTATTGTCAACTTGCTGGGTCTCTGCCTTTTTGTGACCAGACAATCGCTTTGTTTGCCAAAATCTTCTTTGTCCCTCCTATTGTTGTTGTACCGCCTATTGAGGTACTTCGATAACACAGAGGATCGAATAGGGAAGCTTAGAAGTGTTCTTGGGCATGAGTATATAGTTTGTGCGTATCCTTTCTCACTCAATATATTGCCCCGGTCAACCTTCTTCTAAACACTAATACTACAAACAGACTGCCACCTTTATAGACACCACTGGTTGGTGCACTATCCGAGTAAAGATACTGTGTATCTTGATTTGCGATTCAAAGAAAACATACAGTGGCTATATAAGATGGGGCTCACAAGCCAACCTCGCAGCAGCGCTCTGAGGTTGCTCTTGCTGGTCCTCCTCTTCTCGACGGCAAACGCACATTCGTGGATCGAACAGCTGCTTGCCATTGCGGCGAATGGAACTTTCATCGGATCTCCAGGCTACGCTCGAGGCAATGTTCATCGCACTACTCCCGGGTTCAGCGACACCACCATGACTTACCTGATTCCACCAAATGATCGAGCCAACCAGAGTCTAATTCTTCCCACCGACAAGATGTGCAAAAGCACACAGCGAACACGAAACCAGACCGAGGGTAGCCCGCGGCTGCAGGCATCTGCCGGCTCCCCCATCGCTCTTCGTTACCAAGAGAACGGCCATGTGACTCTACCTTGGAATCAACCGGGAAAGCCGAAGAATCGAGGGACAATCTACGTCTACGGAACCACCGAGCCGAAGGAGGAGGAGAACTTCCTGGACGTTTTCAATTCCTGGAATCGCGACGGTACGGGAGGGGATCGACGCGGTGTTCTCTTGTCGAAGCAGAACTTTGATGACGGCCGTTGCTACCAGATCAACAATGGCAATATCTCCGAACATCGTCAAGCCGTGTACCCCCACGTGGCGGACCAATTGATGGGCGCAGACTTGTGGTGTCAACAGGACATCGCGCTACCATCGAATGCACCTACAGGCAAGCCGTATACGCTCTACTGGGTTTGGAATTGGCCCACGGCTCCTGGCGTGGACCCGTCACTCCCCAACGGCAAGCAGGAAATCTATACCACTTGCATTGATGTAGATGTGGTCGATAGCCCTACAACTCATACGCACGTCCAGGAGGGATATGTGGAGGGCCAGTCCCTGGACAGCGCAGCCATTCCGTCTGAGTTTGCCGAGGTGATGGGATCTAGCACTGATAGTACGGAGGCTGGAGGTAGTTCTGCGCCAAGTTCGACGACGCCGGCTCCGACGCCAACACCAACCTCAGTGGCGCCTTTTAGAGTTCTCACATTGACGACAGTCATCACGACACATATACCTTGGACTAGCAGTGCTGCCTTGGCTGGGAGCACTTGATCGAAAAGACCTTGCTTTGGATGTGGATCCCTTGCGTTCCCAATAGCTGGGGATTTGGAATGCATTGTATACCCTCCGAAGAGAGCGGGTTAGCTTTTACATTCTCTTCTCCCGCTCGAGCTAGGCGGGCCTAGCCGGGATTGATAACAGTCACTCTTTTGACCTTTGATTGACTAGACCCTTTTGATCAATAGACAATTGAAATGCCGGATCTCATCCCATTGTGCTTTTCCTAGGGTAATACATGGTAGATAGGTTCGTGGAAGATAAACTGAATAGAAATAGATCCACCGCAGGACCACGAGGAGTAGATGCGGATCCTATATCCGGAACAAATAGATATAATTAGAGTGGCTGGTTATTGTCTAGTGGCTGGGGCGTGGTGGGTAAATAGTAGCTACTATGAGCCATGCAAGGCAGAAAGGCATGTGGAGAGACAAGAGCAGAGCATGAGCATTTCTATGCCTGACTTCTAAGGCATCGAGTGGCCCGTTCGGCGATGGCCCGAGGCATCCACACCTGAAACACGCTAAGCCACGCGTGGGCAGTCACGTGGAGAGGGTGAATCTTCAAACTTCCCAGACAAAAAAGAAAACGAGCTTGAAGGAGTGGAAGATGTCGGTTTAGAGTCAGGAAAGACCCCGGACTATTCACCCTGATCAACTGCGTCTACTCCCCTCCCTTTTTCTGCCCTGGAGAAAACCTCAATTGCCTGACTGCCCGGCCTCGATAAACAGTGACCCTGCATGCCAGCGGGTTTCTGAATCCTTGAACTCCACCGCATCGGTGACTGCGCCTCGTTGATCCTTAACGCTTCAGTCGGAGCCTTCACGGCAGGTAAGTTAGCAGTAATCTCCGGCACTGGCAAGCCTCTTGTCGCACCCTCTCGCCCCTACCATTCATTCATTCCCTCTCGCTCTCGCTCTTTCGCTCTCTCTGCCTTTCTCGCTCCACCGTCCCTTATCCTGTGTGTCATCTTTCTCCTGCTTCCTGCAGCTGAGTGTCTTGTCCTCTCCTCTCCTGGCGCTCATCCCCTCTTTCTTATTTCCCCCCCCCCTCAATATTCAATCAATCAATCAATCAATCAATCAATCAATCTCCTCCCTTCCTGCCTCCCCTCTTTTTATCTCCCGTTTGTCATTGGGTTCGGTAGTCGCCGTCCTCTCAGAGTGGCGCTTTTTTGGCCCTGCCCTCGTTGCTAATTTTAGCATCCCCAGTTTTGCCTTCGACCATCCCGAACTCCCAAGCGCGGGACCAAAACGCTCTCGAAACAACCTCCTCTTGTTTTTTTCCACCTGCTTCGCTGCAAACCTCTCCTCCCCCGGGCATTGGCTGTCGCTCATCAAATCTTGCCTGCCACCCCTGCAGCCGCCTGGTCGGTGCAGTCAACGTCGTTGTGTTTAATATTTCTTGGCCCGAGAAAGAGAGAGGGGAACAGCTGCCCGTCATCGAAGATCCCCGCGGTGCTTGCTCTTGAGGTCGATAGCCGCGCTGTACCTGTCCGTTCGCTGTCGATTATACCCGGACCTGTCAGACATCCCATTGCGGCCACCTCGCTTCTTTGGCGTCTAGCCGCAGTCCATTAACTTGTCGCCGGTCGTCTAGTGCCCTCTCCGGTTGATTCAGACTTGTTTCGGCGCGCAGCGTCCTCCCAGTCCCAGATCTGCATCGTGCTGTACGCAAGGAGCTCACGAGACATCCCTCCGATTTGATTCGCATGCTTTCGCATACATATTCTTGGTGCGAGAGTTTCCTTGAAATAACCTTCGGGCGGGATCTGGCAGTAGAGTTTCGTGGAAGAACGATCGCGATGCGAAACTAGGGCGGACCGGTTTTCCAGCTTTTCTATCCCCTCTCAAGCGACAAACATCCGACCCGACATTACCTCACACGACATCTTCGACACGTAATCATTTTTTCTTCCGCTCTGATCATTACCTTTGAGGACTCATGACCATCATCATGGCTTCCACAACCTCGGCCCCCTCATCGCAGCCCACGGCTTCCTCGAACCTAACGGTTTTGCCTCCTATAATCACAGACTCCCCAGTTAAGCGGCAGGGCCGTCAGCGATCCTCCTCGTACGCAAAGGATCGTCTCTCCACGCACTCTAATGTTTCCTTAGCTTCTCAGAATCGGTCGCGGCCGGGATCCCACGTCTTTCCTGTCTTTCATTCCAGCTTACCGTATGCGCTGGTTCGCGACTTTGCGTATCCTCCTATTCATCCTCTTCACTATGGCCCATTGCCGCCTCGTGCATCGGTGGTGTCCACCCCGGCAAGTGAGCAACGGCGCCTGTCCGATCCTCCGGCCCCGTGGGATAGTTCTCGTGGCCAATGGTCCGTGGGACCGTGGACTACCGACCATAGCTATGGGCACCAGCAACTTCCCGCCATGTCCTTTGGCGATGGACCGCCGTATAGCGAGGATGAAGACTTGCACAGCCCAGTCTTTTCCGCCCCGCGTCACCGGAAAAACAAGTCCACCGGAACTGACCTTAATGGACGGAAAGCCAGGGGCCCTGGTGGCCGCGAGCATCAAGGCATGGGCTATGAGGCAGATACCGATCGGGGTACGCTTGTCAGTATGAACGCGGACGGCAGTGAGACGTACTATGTGAACGATGACGACGCTTTGGAGGATGGACCGGGCGGCGAGTATGTCACCTATCCGGCGAACGAGAGCCGGTATTCTCATGTAGGCTCATACGACTATCACGCCTATGGACATGAGGCGGACTTTGATTCTGAAGACGACTATGCCGGGGATCATCGGTACTCGCGTGACTTCCAGTTTGCTGTGGGGTGCCCTGATGAGGAGATGCACGGAAAAGCGGTTGCACTGTTCGATTTCACGAGAGAGCATGAGAATGAGCTGCCTCTTACTGAAGGGCAGGTGATCTTTGTCTCGTACCGGCACGGTCAGGGCTGGCTTGTTGCGGAGGATCCCAAGACTGGAGAGAGCGGGCTGGTACCAGAGGAGTTTGTACGTCTGCTTCGAGATATCGAGGGAGGGCTGACGTCGTTGAACGGCGAGCCTGATGCGGACGAGGAGAACAACACGTATCTGAGCCCGGAGTCGACAGATTCCCAGCAAGCTATCACACCCACGCAAGACGAACAGCTCCCACTGGAGTCGACCTACGTGAACGTCGAGCATGTCTCCAACGGGGCAAAGAGGGAGTCTTCGCAGCTGGCTAGCGGTGGCAAGACGGATTCGAACATGTCACATTTCCCGGCAGAAGATCAGGGGCTCGAAGCCCCGCAAGACCTTCCTGAAAAGAAGGCAGCCTAGTTTCATACCTGCAATACTGGGACATTATGTCCTGCTAAGGGGGTACATATGATCTCAGCTTCTGATGAATCTGTGACCTAGTATAATAGCTGCTGGCCATGTTACTCTCCTGAGGGCCGATGAACCTCGACCCAAACATGATTGCATCATCCTATTTCTTTTCATTTCTTCTTATTATATTTCCTTACTGTTCTTGTTGTTCCCCGGCTGGAACTGCTATTGTTGGAATACCACCATTTGAACGGGACGGCTGTTTGTGAATGCATGCATGCATGATATGATCATTTCATGACGAGGGAGAGGGGTAGCAGAGATGTGGAGAGACTGTGAGTGAGGGTGGGGGTGAGGGTGAGGGTGACTGTTTCAAATGTGGGAAAGGGGAGGGCAAATGTGCCTGTATATATGTTTCTGTACTTGAGCGATGGCGTCAATGCATTAGATTATGGTTGTAGGCTGGCTTGCTTGCTTTTCTGTGAAAACAAAAGCATTCCCTAGCATACAGCGTGTGATCGAAGTATTCATATACCTCCAACAGCGTTAGTTATGTTTATCCATCTATATATATGTGATTTATGAGCAATGGTTACAATCTTAGTATTTATTATACATTTGACTTTCAAACCCTTGTTTGGGGAAGTATTTAGCTAGTAGTGTATATAGTATGACCACTGCCAACCTCAACCTTAATAACCACCAATTCACAAAGTCAAATGTACCGAAAAAACTACTATGACAGGGATGAGTCTAAGCCGCACTTCCTCTAGTTCAAAACTAAGATCATCATCCTAGTAGCTGGTGCCTAAACTTCCGAGACAGACGTCAAGAGGCTTACTATCAAATCAATCCGGACATCCGTCGGACAAGGATTAGATGATGCCATCATGCTATGGTGAGATTGACATATAAATAATACTACTACCACCACTACCACTACCACCACTACCACTACAATCAACTAACCAATCTAACGAAACCTGACCCTACAACACCCAATACCCAACACCACAATGACAAGCCCAAGCCCATTCACACCAACGACACCACCAAGAATCAAAAACACAAAGGTAACCCCCTCACCCTTCCTCCTTCTACATATACCATACCATACTGAGAATAAAGATTAGGGCCTCCACCTCCTAACAACCAGCACCCCCAACGGCAAAAAAGTCCAAATCCTCCTCGAAGAACTCTCCGCAAAATACGGCTTACAATGGACCACAACCCTAATCGACCTCGACACGGACGAGCAGAAGCAGCCGTGGTTTCTGGCGCTGAATCCTAACGGTCAGACCCCAACCCTTCTTTTCTTTGACTTTTGAAACCCACCTGGGCAGGAAGATATGTTACTGAAGTTAAAGGGATTGTAGGCAAAATCCCCCTCCTCATCGACACCAACAACAACAACAACAACAACAACAACAACTCCTCCATCCCAATAACGGTAATGGAATCCTCCGCTATACTCCTCTACCTTGTCGAAACATACGACCCAGATCAGCACTTCCACTTTTCTTCAGCGGTGCTCAAATCTCAACTTATCCAGTGGTTATTCTTCTGGTCTGCGTCGGGGCAGCCGCAGCAGGCGGGGTTGAATTATTTTAAGAGGTTCGCGGGGGTGGTGGATTCTTGTAAGTTACCTTTTTCCCATCCCCATTCTATAGGAGATATCATATAGGTGAAATGTGCTTATAATCCTGGGTGAAAGATGCCATTGAGAAATTCAAAGCCGAGACGCTTCGGATTTACAACGTGCTGGAACTACATCTATCTAATAGCTTGGCTGGTTGTGATGGTGGTGGTGGTGAAGCGAGGGAGTACTTGGTGGGCGAGGGACGAGGGAAGTATAGTATTGCTGATATCAATGCGTATGCGTGGATAAGGGCGTGGAAGAGGATGACGATTACGGAGGAGGAAATGGGTAGGTTTCCGCTGCTGAGGAGGTGGATTGAGAGGATTGAGGAGAGGCCGGCGGTGGAGAGGGGGGTGGGGGAGGGGTATGATGAGGAGGTTCATCCTGAGTTGTTGCTTAGTAGTACTGGAAGGGATTGAAGGGACTTAGTTGGGTCTATATCAGTAGTCGAGGGTATATCATGATTAGGGTAGGATTGTATAAGAGATAGTTACTTAATTGGATCCTACATATATCAAGTTGGTAAGTCAATTCTAATTAAATTGCATCCTATAGAACTTTTCTGCTTTTCGATAGAGAAAAGAGTACAGCATAGGTTCAAGGGTACCCTTGAGTTATCAAGTAACGTACCATACCATATCATACCAGGGAATAGGGGTAGCCGAGCTATTATGCCACGGGAGAACGAGAATATATCTGGAGTAGTCACACGAAGAATCGGCTAGGGGCAATAGGTAGATAGCAGAATAGATGAAAGGAAAAAAAAAAAAAAAAAGTGAGTTAGGGTAGGCCTGCTATTTTAGATCTTGCACGCAAGCAAACAAAATAAGAGAAGAAATATTCGTACTACGGTATACACACAGTCACTCGAACAGTGCCAAAAAGGAAAAGAGAACATTCAGCTAAGCGGGGTAAAAGAAGGAGACAACGATATAAAGGTCGAGCTGAGATAGTCATCAACCTAGCCCAGTAGGTCGTCTAGGCCAGAGCTTCCCGTTGTCTTCGGCGCCCCGCTGCTGCTGCTGCTCTGGTTGAATGCAGGACTGCCTGAAGCAGCGGGAGCGCCCCAGATGCCGGCGCTGGCCTTTTGCTTGGCCATGCTGGCTAGGTTAGGACCCTTGTTTCCGCCCGTATTGTTCTTCTGAATACCGGCGCTGGCGCTGGCGGTGGACCAGAGAGATCCAAAGACGTCACCGGATGCCTTGGGGGCAGCGGGCTTGTTGGCGGCAGAGGGGGTAGAGGGCGTGGTGGAAGTGAAAGAGGAGGTGGAAGGCATGTTGGGGCGGTGACCCATAGCAGGTTGCTGAGTCGTGTTGGAGAGGGTGGAAACAGAGGTGAAGTAGTTGGGAGTGGCGGCCTGGAAGCCACTAGGCTTGGGTTGCGCGGGTTTCTGGGCCTGTGCCAGGGAGCTCTGAGAGAGAGTGGGAGACGCCATCGTGCTCGAGGTCGGGGTAGGGGTCATCGAGGTGAAGCCTACAATGCCGTTCAGGTTCGAGCCCTGGGTGGCCGAGACAGGCTTGGGGGCAGCGAACTGCGTGCTGGAGGTCGTGCTGACGGTGGAGGCCGGCGGGGGAATGGCAAACTGGGCTGACGATGCCGGCGCAGGCGCAGGCGTGGCGGATTGGAAATCGTCAAAGTCGTCGTCGTCAGCAGGCTGGGTGTCGAGGATATCTAGACCATTGCCTGTGGCAGGCTTCTTGGAAGCGCTGACAGATGTCGCGACAGTCTCCTCCTCTCCAAAGTCGAACAAGTCTTGCTCGGGTTCCTTAGGAGCAGGAGCGGCCGGCTGTTTGGCCTGGCGAGTAGCACTAGCACGGGGAGGACTGGGCCCGCGCCGGCGCGGGGGACTAGCATCACCCTCATCATACTCGTCATATTCCTCGAAGCGATTGGAACGTCTCCCGGAGTCCCCGAAATCGCCTGTGTTGCCTCCGAATCCACCACCGTCACCGTAGACACCTCCACTGTATCCACCAAACGAGAGGCTGTCACTGCCAAAGCCGCCATACCTGCCGGAGCTAGAGCTGGACATGCCACCGCCAATGTGCGAGCCACCCTCGAATCCACCAAACTTGTTGCGGTTGGCCCTGGCCTTCTTCCTCTCCGAGCGGATCAAGTCGACGTCACCGAGCAGCTTAACCAACTCCGAGGACCTGTTGCGCACGTTGATACCCTGGTCTTTTCCGTTCTGATCGATGTAGTGGAATTGGCGAAGCATCCGAATCAAGGACATGTGAGAGCGGGCATCGTCGACAACTCGTTCGGATCCGTTCTTGACAAGGAACTCTAGAAGTTGGAGCGCCTGTCGCGCATCGTAAGCCGTGGTCCACATGTGTCGCGGAGAGAATAGGAGAAAACAGGACTCACCTTGTAGATCTGTCGCCATTCCTCCGATGTCTTGTCTGTGAAGCGCTTGTAAATCATAGGCATGATCTCGTTGAGCAATTGACTGTATGTTGCGACACGTCATTAGTACTCCAGGGGAGTCCTTGCTAGGCCATGCGACGGGGACGGAAACACTGACTAGCTGTGGGTTCCACTGGCAATCTCATGCATAAGTGTGTTCGAAGCACCCCAAGGTTCATTGTTTGTAGCTTCTCGGACCTGTCTAATGTGAGTGTTGTGCTTCGAGGGATACAACCACACGGGGTGCGGAGGCCCGGGGCTCGTGGCGGGACGGAACTGGCGGGATAGTAGGAACGGACCTTGGCCTCCATCTCGGTATAGTTCATGACCGCTATAAGAATCAGTGAATCGCCTGCATCGAAGGAACAGAATCCGAGGCCATCCAAAATGACAGGAAAGCGTTCTGGGGTCACCGCGGGGACGTACCATTCTGGACCTTGCGGACTCCCGCCTTGAGATCATACAAGGTCAGGTTGCTGACCTGTTCTTTGAGGTTAGAGAAATCCATGGCGCACACAGCACAGATGGAGAATCTAGCACAGAATCAATTGAAACCGTAACAGGAAAGACCTGCGGGAACAAGGACAGGAGGGCAAGCAGCAGTGGAGGAAGAGGCGGAAGTTGAGATGCCATCGCCTCCAGCTGGCATCGATCGCCGTTGGGCCCCAAGCCGTCACGTGGCGACCCCTGACCCGTCCATGGCTCGTCCTCCCTCCCTTCATTGAAACAACTTATTCACAGATGACACTCAATCATGACAGAATGATGATGGTTATTATTATTTTCTCTTACTACTGGCTACTACAAAGGCTCTCACTTTTAGGATACGTACACTTATGGTATTCATTCAATCATCGTCGAGGCAGGCTTAGGTCATACATACATAACATGCGGGCGGTTGCGCTCAAGCATCCAAAGACACCTTGCATAGCAAACCTGAGGGATACAGGAAAACATATTCAGTAGGTATAAGAGTTCGAAGGCTCATCTCCACCATGCCCACTCCAGGCATCTTTCCAGATGAGCTCTTTTTCATCGTCAACATGATAGCAAGAGGAAGGGATATCTCAAAGAAATGCAGACAACAAAAACATAAACAGAAGAAAACATCAACACATGAAACGTAATAGACGGAATAAGATCATGATCCAGCATCAAACCGCTCCATCACTCATTATAGAACTTTCTCATTATCAGGTGCAAGAAAAGATTGACGTTGACTCGTAAGTGCCCATCGAAGAAGTCCAGGAACTGCATGTTATTGAACTGGGCTTGTAGTAGGTCGTCCAACGGAACCTGCGCGTTGGCTCCCGGGATCATCATCGGTCCACTGCTTCCATCAATGGTGAAAACTCCGACTTCGTTACTCGAGATGGTAAGGTCGACCCGATCCCACTGTCGTTCAGTGTATCCCTTCCAGTGAACGAGAACACCCCGGTCCGCCAGATTGCGGGCCGAGTACTTGTAGGATCCAAACTTGAAGACCTTGCCAGACTTCTGTAGTTCTCGTTGGTGATCCCACTGCTTGGTGAAGGGCATAAGGAACCGCTTCTTTCCCTTCTTGTTCTGCAAGGTCACCATGGCCTGCTCGATGTAGTCGTTGTAAGTCTTGAGTTGTTGATCCAGCCAAATAGCTTGGTCGTTGAGGCGAGCAAGCGTCATCCGAGCGCTGTCCAATTCCCGCTCTCGCTGGATTCTCCGGCGATGCTTTGTGCGGATATCGATGGCAATCGCATTCAGAAGATCCTGGTAGTAATTATCGCGCCGGATTTTACCGGTTTGTTCGAGTTGAAGAATGTTTTCCAGAGCCGTTTGCTTCAACTCCGTGTAACTCATAGAGGCAAGGTCTACCATGGTGGTGGCTTCCGAGTAAGGGCTCCGTCGTGTGTTGTTTGCACTCAACTCGTCACGAACCAGCGTCATCCATTTGGCTTCGTCCTCTTCGGTGGGTGGTTTAACCATGATGTCCATCAGATTGGCGCCTGTTTGGACGCGAATAATGTAGAGGATGCATCTCTTGGTTTCCATAAACAAAGCCTTCACATCCGCTTCTGGGTCTAGTTTGAAATGTCAGTCTCCAGGCATATTTGTGAGTGGTGAAAGTGCTCGGGCTTACCTTCAACTTGTGCCAGCTTGGGGTTCAAGGTGAGATTGATCTCAGAGGAGTTGACGCTCATTAGCTCACTCTCGTTGGACTTGACGTTACCCAGGTCGCGAATGACCTCCTTCAGGATATCATCCGGGTTCTGGCAGATGTAATGAATTTCGCTGGCGATAAGCTGATGGATAGAGAAGATATCAGACATTTTGATATACAAAGTAGGCTTTGTCTTGGCATAAAGGTCGTTGAATTCATCGATGTCGAAATAGCTTTCAGCGTCCTGAACGGAGACCACTACGAAAAGGTCAGCATCATCCCAAGGATTATAAGTTATGAAATACTCACTGTCACCCCAGATCTGACCAAGCCGCTGGATAGAATCTCCGATATAGCTATTTAGTGGCTGGAGATAGACATTCTCTGCGCCGAAGAGTCGACCGGATGCTACCTGCGCGATCACCTTCGAGATCTCTGAAAGATTGCGCTTTTGCTCCTGGGTCAAGCCACGGTCTATCACACCATACTTCTCGGGCTCGACCATTGCAGGCTGGAAGTAGTTTCTCCACACCCAATGGCCCGCTGTCTGGAGGATGAAGCCGGGGTTCTCCTTGGGGAATCGAGCGAGAAGGCTCTCGTACATCTGTTTCGCGATGTACCGAATACCGAAGGGCATCCTGTACAGTAGTTCCTCAAAAGCAGAAAAGAATTGGTCAGCAATATCGCGGAGGTCTTGAAGATGCTGAATAAACGTCGCTCTCGTCTCTGGATCTCTGATTGCCTCTTCTCTTGGGATGTCCAGTCGGCGTCGGCTCCGCTTGCCGGTCCGGAGTTCTTCGTTGTTGATGGCCGAGCGATAGATCTGTATGGGATCGCTCTCCAAGTCCAACTCTGGATTCTCAACCACATTCTCCC